TCCAGCCTGGTCTTCCTGCCCCTCAGACGTTCTCCAAGAGTTTAGTGTTCTCCTACCACACACCACCTACATACAGATCAAGAAACAAGTACAGAGAGGTCAAAGTCACCTCATACAGAACGCAGAGAGGTCCCAAAGTACTGCTGTGTCCTTCACTGACAACCTCTGAAGGCAAAGCATTTGAACAGGACACTAAAAGAGACCCCAAATCATATTCAGACCTTCCTTCTCCAGAGCTGCAGGCCACCAGAATGACTCCTATTTTATAAAAGGCACAGATTATCTCATTTTCTGCTTTACTTTCTGTCTAAATATTGCTGGTTAGAGAGTCAGCTGATGGGCTGTAAAACTGACAGTCTTGTTACTGGTGCTTATAAATTGCTTTTGCTCAGCTGGAGTTCATGTAGGACCATCTGACTGCCCAGAACTGACAGTTTTAATGATTCTGTTTCTCCAGCACTTTCTCACTGACCACTACAAAAATCTGATCTGTCTCTTGTTCTGCCAAGCTGTTTTGTGGATCAAGTTCCTCGTCCTCTGGGGATTTGCAGTGTGTCAGCCGTCAGACCAAGCAAGCTTGATAATAACTGACCTGAGAATTGCTGCTCCAACACTTCTGGGCTCCTCTGTACTAGAGATTTTAGCGTTAAAATGTCACAATCCTGAAGGCTGGAGGACAGGTGCATCCCCAGGAGAAAGACACAGGTGCAAAGTATTTTAAAAATGGAAAATGCCAACTGTAAAAGTTTGGTGCTTGGCTGCTGTACCCTCACCCCGTACTCTGTTGGGTACCATTATCTTTTTTTCCAGTTCTTCCTTTCCTGTGCTGTATCCCAGGTGAAGCAGAACAACTTCCCCTTCTAAACCATGTTTCACTCACACAATATGGGAAATTCCTCACATCTCAGCACTATCTGGTGAAGGAAGAGACACAGAGAGCTCTTCCCTGGGATGCAAAAAGACACACAGAGGCTGAAGCAGGCAGGAGCACAGTGCCCCTGACCCAGCTGCATCCAGGGGCTGCATCTGGAGATGCCCAGTGGCCACAAAGCTGCCTTAAAATAACAGGAAACTGATTTCAAAGAGGTATCTTTAGATGAAAATCACTCAGAGAAAAGGGGTTTCAAAGAGAAGTAGCCCATGCACCCATCCAGGAGATCTAAAGCTTTACAAGCCCTGTGCTGTGTGTTTGGTCTCTCCAGGTGCTCCAGCAGAACAATGGGAGCAGCTCTTCCAGCCTCCTGCCAGGTTTGGGGGGATTTCTTATGGTCTTAACAATCCAATTCCTGCTGACACAAGCTGTATATGATTTTTCCACCTTTCCTGTTTCCCTAAAACACCCCACAAAGAAACACATAACCAGGACCAGGCATGGATTGATGTTTGCCCACGAACCCAGAGCAGGGGAAGCAGGGCAGAAATTCCTACCTGGGACAAACTGGAAAGAGGGGAAGGGCTACACTCCTGCAGCAGCATCTCAGGGAAAATGAGGCCAGTACTGCCACAAAGATGTGACAGCATTTCCCATTCCCCACACACTCCCAGGAAATCAGCCTTCCCACCAGCTGGGTTCAGCTCATTCCATGGTCTCAGTGAGCTCATGAAAGTCCTTAGTTTTCCCAGAATCACAGAACCATGGAATGGCTTGGGTTTGAAGGGAACTTAAAGATGGTTTAGTTCCAACCTCCCCCATCTAGTTCCATTTTCTTTGTGCCTCTAAAACATAAATGACTTCCCTTCCCCTTGGGATCACTGTGGGCATTCAGCACACTGGAGATGGGGAAGGGAGCAGAATCACAGAGCCACTGAGGTCATCTAGACAGAAGAAGAATAAATATCTCCTCACAGAAGTGTTTACCTGATGCAATATGAGGGGTGAGTCACAGAGAGACTGATCCCACTGTGTCCCCACCACCACTGCACAGAAGTCCCACCTAAGTCCTAAGAGTGAACTCAGCTCAGCCACAGCCTCATCCTCTCCCTCATGGATGTTTGCACAGACTGCAACTGCTTAAAAACAAAAGAGCAATCCAAATCATTTGGAGCTGGTGACAAGCAACCCAAGCCAGTTTTCTTCCAGAGAACACAGAAATCCCAGTCTGCCCAGTCCTTCAGGTGCCCGGACCGGGTGCTCTGCAGCTGACCCAGCTTGACAGGCTTCACACAGGCCTCCTCCAGCTTGCACAAGGGTCAACAAAACGTCCATCAGGGAGAAGAATCCTCCATTTATTCCATGCCTGAACATTTTGGAAAGATGGCCTTTCCAAGGTCTGAGGAAGAGAGAAGGTGGTGGAGGATGAAGGCTGCAGGATGATGAAACATCAAACAGCAGAAACTGAACCTGAGCTGCATGTTCAGGAGCAGATCTGTGGAAGAGAAGCTGCAAAGGGCATCCTCCAGCAAGGCTCTGCAGCAGGGCAAGGACCCCTCATAACAGATGCCGTGCCACAATGATATATAAGACAGACTGAGAGAGCTGGGGGGTGTTCACCCTGGGGAAGAGAAGGGTCCGGGGAGACCTTAGAGCCTCTTCCAGTGCCTAAAGGGGCTACAAGAGAGCTGGAGAGGGACTTTGGACAGAGCCTGGAGTGACAGGACAAGGGGGAATGGATTCACACTGAGGGAGAGCAGGGTAGATTAGATTTTAGGAAGAAATTCTTGGCTGTGAGAGTGGTGAGGCCCTGGCACAGGTTGCCCAGAGAAGCTCTGGTTGCCCCATCCCTGGAGTGTTCAAGGCCAGGTTGGACAGGCTTGGAGCAACCTGGGATAGTGGAAGGTGTCCCTGCCCATGACAGGGGGCTGGAATGAGATGGTCTTTAAGGTCCATTCCAATCCAAACCATCCTGTGATTCTATAAGGAGTGCTAAAGCTACACATTCTTTCACAGCTCAGGCCTGCTTATTTTTTATGGACAAGTACTACAGCCTCTCCAGCCAGAGAGGGTTACTGCACACCAGGAACAGCTTCAGCCTCTGGGCACTGCTTTCTCACCTGCCTCATGTGCCAGGCAGGCATCTCCTACCCTGAAAGCTGTTCTTCCTCCAGCAACTGCAAACGCAGCCATGACTCCAGTCCAGACCTGCATCAGCTGTGGACAGAACAAGCTCCTCCACAGCCCCAAAGCTCATGGCAACAGTTCATCACATACAACAGCATCTTCAGCAGTATCTAGACACCCTTTGACCCATTGTCTGCACCCTGTCCTGGGAACATGACTCCTGTCAGAACCCTCCAGTGAGCCAAGCCAGATGACACCCTGGCTGAGATGGTTAAATGTACCAAGATCCCTGAAGAGGTATCAGTGCTATCTTCCTCCACACTGCATAATGTGATATGTGGTGTTTGGGGACACACCTTGTGTTTGGCAAAATGCTGCCTCTCCTAAACACACTGCAAAGCTCTGGCACCCTTAGCCAGGATTTGACTCAGATGCAAAGCTCTGCTAAGACATCCACCCTGGTACGATCCTGAACCAGACAAACAGCTTTAGGTGGTTAACAGCTTAATGCAACCTTCTCACCATTGCTAACAAGTCACCATGCACCCCTGAGTGCAGAAAATATGTTGCTCCTGTCTTGTTTTCCCTCAGGAGAAAGACTCTGCACCAAGGAAGTGAGTAAGAACAGAACACGAAGCTGCTGATGCAACTCCCACCCTAACCCTGTGTCTTACACACTTCCCCTCTGAGCACTGTCATGTACCTCTTTCACCCAGCTTGCCAAAGCCAGCCAGAAGCCCTTAAATACTTGGAATTATTCCCCTCACACAGCTCCTGTGCAGCCTGGTGGGAGAACAGGACACGTGAAATCAGATTTGACACGGCAACCACCCAACAGGGTATTTTACAAGCAAGATTTAGTGGGACAGGGAAGTATCAGACCTGGTGCAAACTCAATCTGCCCTCAAAGGCCAATCCTCCCAGGGAGTTCCTGAAATCAACCTTCCCACAGAGTTCTTGAAATCAACCCTCCCACAGAGTTCTTGAAGCACACTCTTTGATTCAGTTCAGAGGAAGCCAAGAAAACTAAAGCAGGTTGGAAACAGCATCAGAGGGGGAGAACCACCAGGTTAAATCAGAATTAAACATTCAGGGGAAGTGATAGACATCACATAGATATACGTGATACACAACATCTGAAAGAGTTTTGGGGTTTCTTTAGTTGATGAGCTTCTCAGAACAGCTAATTCTCTAATAATCAGATACAAAGACCCTCTCTGTAGATGTGGTTCAGCTCCCACAAACTCACCTGAAAGGTTCCTACTGCTGCTTGATGGGGTTTGGCTTGGGAATTGAGTATGCTGGGAAAATATTCCTTGGCACTAAGCCCAGCTGAGCAAGTTCCTTTCTAAACTCTACCTTGTCCCACACCAGCTTTGAACTGCATCACATGGATTTAACATATATAAACCCTGATTCCTAGGTGGAATCAATTAGTTCTAGTCACTAAACACAGGGCCTATATGTAAAGTGGGGAGAAATTGTATAAAGCTCTATAGAGGCTTTGTGGGTTTGTCTGAACACTGCCAGCACAGGGTCCCATGCCTGGACCACATTCCCAAGAAAACAGGAACTTAAAAAAATGCTGCTGAAGTAGCAAATGGGCTGATGGGCAACTGCCCAACTCCCTTTGCCCTCACAGGACATATATCCCTACACCAACCCATGCTGGGCAAAGGGAACTGAAATTTCCCCAGGAATCTCACCTGAGAGGTTATTTTTTTTGTCCACCCTTGGAGCAAGACAACACTAAGCTTTGGGAATGAAGGAGCAGGTTTGGAATATTCACATTCTCCCCAAAATGACAACCCAGGTCATGCTCATCCCAGTTCAACCAGTTGTTGCTGGTGGATGGGGCTTCTCCATAAATGAACCAGCTTTGTGTTTAGCTTGAGAGCCAATCCCTGAGACTTCCTGGCATGAGGGACTGTCTCATACAAGAGTGCAGAACAGGAGATACGTCCTCTGTAAGGGTAAAGGGAGAAGGGGCTTTTTCTCTTACCCAGACCCTGGTTCTGCTGCTCCCACTCGATGGTGTCAGGAACCTGGTAGGACACCCCAGCCAGCTGGGCCACAGGGTTTTCCAGGCCAGCTATGGGATCCTGGGAGGTGTCCCCTGGAAGTGTGAAACCCGGCAGCTCCGTGTCGCCCTCCATGCTTTCATCCATCAGATCTAGGTCTTTGTCCTCCTCATCTTCCTCTTCCTCCTCTTCTTCTTCCTCCTCCTCTTCTTCTTCCTCCTCCTCTTCTTCACCCTCTGGCCAGGGAGACAGAAAAGAAACATCAGGAAAGATCCCACAAGACAGCAGGTTCACAGATCCCTAGGGGTGAGCACCAAGCTGGTACCACTCCTCCAAAGGCAAAGCAGCAGAAGGAGCTTGTGCTTATTCTCCAACAGGAAAGAAACCCACAGGGGTCAATTTGGAGGAGCTCTTCACCACTGGAAGTTGCTGAGTAACAACGAGACATCTCAGACTGTCAAATTAGTGGGAAATACAGTAATTTTCTGCTTCCTAATAGCAGAGCACAAACAAGGACGTGCATGTGTACAACACCTGAGCATCTGCAACTACAGAGCTCTCTGCTCAACTCATTTCAGCTCAAGTGAGAGCTATTTCCCTGATTTTCAATCTTGGAGGCGGCAATAAGTTGGTTTTGATTTTAACTTTTATTAAGCCTTTCCCAGCTCTGGAAAGGGTGCTGCTTTCCAGCCCAGTTTCGCTGATATGGTCCCTCCTCCAGAAAAGGCACCTGGCTTTGACTGGACCAGGTTGCTCCAAGCCCCATCCAACCTGGCCTTGGAAAGCATTGGAAAGAAGGCAGCACAGCCAACACCTCATGGAAGAGCAGATAAATGTGACACAGAGGAAATCCCTGTGGATTTAGTGGAAGGTGTCCCTGCCCACAGCAGGAAAGGTGGAACTAGATGATCTTCAAGGTCCCTTTCAACCCAAACCGTTCTGTGATTCCATGAATTCTCCACCACGGCAGACACCCATCCATTCCAAAACTGTCTGTACTGCCAACATACACAGACAAATATTTAAGCCATATTTCACAGCTAGAATCTAAAATGGTCACACGGGAAGGACTGTGCTGGATCAAACCAAAGGCCATTTCTGTCCACATCCTATTTCCAACCACAACTGGCCACAGATGCTAAAGAAAGACCAGAGCAGGGAACACACAGAGCCAGTCTTCCCACACTTTCTCTTCCCAGCTTTTAGTCACCAAAGTCCTGAGGACTTCCTAAGCCAGAATTTGCATCAGAGCTACTTAATAGCTCCTAATGGAGCCACCCACCAGGAAAAGATAATATCTGAAACAATGACATGCTTTGAATTTCTTATGGTTAGTTTGTCAAAGCTGGAAACTAAAACATAGTATTTAGCACTTTATCTAATTTGCACAAAGCTCTGCTTAGCCCTGTAGAAAATTCCCTCCTGATGTGCTCAGACTGGGACAGCCCATCCACACCTGGGCTGACGCTTTAGCTGAGGGTCTAGGACCATGTTAAAAATCAACAATCCATCCAAATCCCCATTTGTTACCTAGATATCCCTTTATTTCTGCTGGAGTTGTACCTCATAAAGGTTACAGACACTACAATGAGATGGAGTGGCTGAGGCAGGACACCTGAGGGGCTGCACAAATCCTTCCTGCTGTAAGTAAAGAAGGTGATGCTTCACTCCTCTTCTCTCTGCTTCAGGGTGTGATGGCACTCCAGCACAGCTGTTCCACAAAGCACATGAGAAACAAACAGGGGAACTTGGGGAATCATAAAATCATCAAGGTTGGAAAAGATCTCCAAGATCACTGAGTCCAACAGTTATCCCGGCACCATGTTCATGTTCACCAATAAAACACGTTCCTAAGTACCACATGCATGTGCCTTTTGAATACTTCCAGGGATGGTGACTCCAACACTGCTGTGGGCAGCCTGTTCTAGTCCCTGACCACCCTTTCAGTGAAGAAATTCTTCCTAATATCCAAACTAAACCTGCTCTGGCACAGCTTGAGGCCATTTCCTCTCATCCTGTCCCTTGTTCCCTGGGAGCAGAACCCGACCCCCACCTGGCTCCACCGTCCTGTCAGGGAGTTGCAGAGAGGGAGAAGGTCCCCCTTGGGCACCCTTTTCTCCAAGCTGAGCCCCCTCAGCTCCCTCAGCTGCTTCTCCTCAGACTTGTGCTCCGGACCCTTCCCCAGCTCTGTTCCCTTCTCTGGACTCATTGCAGCCCCTCAATGTCTTTCTTGTCTTGAGGGACCCAGAACTGACCCCAGGATTTGAGGTGTGGCCTCACCAGTGCCCAGCCCAGGGGGACAGTCACTGCCCTGGTCCTGCTGCCACACTATTGATGACACAGGCCGATGACTGAACGGCTGTATCAAGGATTTGCTTTCAAACACTGCATGTTTTTCTCAGCTCGCCAGACAAGACAACTCCACTTGCCACCTTTCAATTCTAGTCCTGTATCTCATACAAATGAGCTGCTGTTTGGATTTAGCTGCATCATCCTGCTATCTCCTGGCTTTTGGGGAAAAATCATTCCTGCACACAATTATACCACACAGAGCATCTAATGGAGCTTACAGGGATGTAGTTAGCTCCTTAAATTCCCATTACATTTTATAGGCAGTTTCTGTCTGTAAACAGTGTGCCCATCATTTTGAATCAACATAAGAATTTTCTCTGTCAAACTGCATCTTTTCATATAAAACATACAGCTGCAAAGCTGAGAATGGCACCTGGAGAGTGCTCACAGGACACCTGCAAAGACAAGTTAATGCAGGTCTTTTGTCCCTGCTGAGAGCAACACAGCTATAAACATTCCCAAAATTTAACAGCTGGAACGGCAGAGAAGAGGGATGTGAACGGAGGCTTTCCTTAGACTGGGTGAAAAAGCAGCCAAGAGAGAACAGGCATCAGATTTTTATCTCTGAAAAACTACTTTGGGACAAGGATTTTAGAAGCTTCTTGTGATTTTAGCAAGCCAAATCCCAGACACCTGCCAGGATCTAGTGTTGAAGCCACAGATAGCCATCTCCGTGTCTCCAAAGCCTCGAAGGCAGCAGAGCTGAACACCCAAATTGAAAGTGCTGAGACCACTTATCACATCTGATCATCACCAAGCTTCATCAATCACCACCAGCCACAGCAGAAAGCTGTGAATAATGTGATCCCTGTAGCAGAGCCGCTGCAAGGGGGAAGGAAAAGGCTCTTCGTTTGTTTCCTTCTCCTCTCTGGCTCGTTCCTACATCTGAAAACAGCTTTTTAATCCCCCCCCCATCCCAAAATGCCAGCAGCTTGCCTTGCTGCAAGGTGCAGTGCAGAGCACCACTTGGTGGTCACAAGGAGGAAGCTACGCTTCCAAAAAAAAAAAACAACCAGAAACTTCACAAATGTGGGATTTCGGGAGCGGAGGCACAACAGGAGCCCGTGGGCAGGCTGTGCATAAGGCTTGGTAGTCTCATAGGATGGCAAACTTAAAGTGAGCATCACACAGCTGAATCTCAAGCTGGAGGCTTGTGCTTCACTTGAAAGCCTTTTGCAGAAGTCACGTTTTCCCTCCTAAATTGGCACTTTTCGGCCTTTGAAAGGCCTCAGCAGCAGCTTGAAAGAAAACAAACAGGAGAGACTGAACGTAGCAAGGGCTGGAAGTGCAAAGCCCAGCAGATTCAGAAGGAATTCAGAGTTTCATGTGCATTTCCAGCCCACTGTGAACTATTTCGTGTGGCATGGAACAGTTTAGGTTGGAGAAGCCCTCTAAGATCATTGAGTCCAACTGTTAACCCAGCACTGCCAAGGCCACCACTAACCCCTGTCCCCAAGTGCCACATCCACACAGCTTTTAAATCCCTCAGGGATGGTGAGTCCACCACTGCCCTGGGAAGCCTGTTCCAGTGCTTGACAACCTTTCTGTTAAAGAAATTTTCCCTAATATCCAATTTAAACCTCTCCTGCTGCAGTTTGAGGTTGTTTCCTCTTATCCTGTGTTTGTTACTTGGGAGAAGAGAATATCACTTCCCTAGTCCTGCTGGCCACATATTGCTGACACAAGCCAGGATGCTGTTGGCCCTCTTGGCCACCTAAGCACTTTCTGCTGTGAGCCATCCTTGCTCTGTAGATCTTCAGATGTCACATACAAGCTGATTCTGTTATCCTGTTTCCACGCACCGAATCCATGACGTGCCACATGGATCTATCAAGGAGGGACAGCATCCTGTCTCTTCTCCTGGTGACACCAGGAGACTTCAGCACTGAAACACTCACAGTCTAAGCAGATGTTTGTATTTTCACAGAATCATGGAAAAGTTGGGGTTGGAAGGGATCTTAAAGACCATCCAGTTCCAATCCCCCTGCCACAGGCAGGGACAGCTTCCACTACTCAAAGTTGCTCCAAACCCCATCCAACCTGGCCTAGAACAGTTCCAGGGATGGTGGATTTTCTACTGCAAGAATAGCCAGTGGCAGTTAAAGTCTCACCTCCAAGAGTGAAGAAATCCAAAATCTGCCACCCTCTGACAGACTAAATAACCACTGGTTTCAATAAAGTAGGTTCTGCTTTGCCTGTATGGGAACAGGAAAGCAAAAGACCCCTAAGAAATTCAGCACCTCCCTGCTGTGACGATGGACCAAGCCAAGAAAGATGCAGGCAGCAGGAATCCCAGGGAAAATTAGATTCCCACTTCACACATCAAAAGATTTTAGTTTTGAAGGACTTGACAACCTTGTAACAGGCATTCAAAATTTCCGGTTTGGAGAAGCGATAAGAGAACAGCAAGAAAACAAGTCTGAGAAAAAAACCAGCAAATTTTTAGCAGAGTTTTTGGACTGTCCCAGCTTTATTAACAGTCAACAGAAACAGCCACCACTGGGCTTTATCCTGGGACTCTGAACAGATCCACGAGCAGCACTGGTGATATCCATCCACAGGATGGGGTTTGCTATTGCAGGGTGGCAAAAGCTCCCCCTGTGCTTGCTTCAAAGACAGGTCTTTCACTAGAAAATTGTACATATCCGTGATGACTTTTGTGGCTCAGCAAAGAGAAGTGAGACCACATCACACCTCCTTCCTGAGGCATTTCACAGACCCAGCGGGAACCCACAACCAGCAGGGTCTGAAGCAGTTGGACAACAACCAGCAACCTCAAGTAAAAGCCTCAGACTCCATTTTTTTGGGGTATCGTTGCTTGAAATGAGCTGCAGCTGAAGCCACTGTGGTCATAACCTTGCTGAAGGCAACAGAGTTACACCAG